CAGAATATCGGAAGCATTAATAACGGTGTAGGACGAAGTCACCCGTGCCATATCTGTTTTCGGTGGAGTATCTGCAGGAGGCTGAAAAAGGTGTAAGAAAAAGGAAGGACGAAAAGCAGAGCACACAATATTCATGGAGGAATAGTTAAGGTATAAACATTTAGTCTATTTGTCTGTTACTGAAGTATTTATTAGGTAAGAACATACTAATGTGTTAAAGAAAAATAAGTGTGAGCGAGGTATTAGTGGATAAGGAACTGTATAAATGAAGGTAGTTTAGAAGGAAGTATGGAATTGTGTAATCATAAAATAAAGTGCTGAAAACAGTATTCCGATACAAATGACTGTCTCTCTTTACTTTAGAAACTGTTTGAACTCTCATTTTTTTGTTTTCAGATTTTATAGGGTATAGAGCGGGCTTCGTTTTTAGCCAATTGTCTAGTTCGCTTGTATTACGATTACTTCGTAGGAAGTGGAACCAATTCAGCTTTTTTTTAACATGATTCAAAGTGGTATTTTGCATGAATAATTTCGCATCAATACCGTTGGTTCGTGACATCCCACTAGACATAAGGAGCCGTAATTAATATGTTCTGCCCCACAGACACGGGTGGATTGAAGTTATCTCCTCACCATCATGTTTGCTGGTCAGTAACGCCACCCTCCCTCCTTTTATGATGTTAGGCTCTCTTACGTTTGTGGTCGGTATGAATATTGCTTTTATCAAGGACCATATTTGGAATACACTGTCTCTACAAGTTCCATGTTACAAGCAAATCAGATGGTAATAGCATTTGTATTATGGGTTAGATACCCATTTCATATATCGTACTACTATGAAGATAACTAATGGTAAAGGTTAGAAGAGACAAGTCAGATTATATGTGGTTAAGAGATGGTAAGGGCTAATAGCGAACCAGAGGATATGATAGTAAATATTGTAAAATTTTCAGGGTAAGAAAAAATAAAACATTGAACAACTCACAAGAATTTAGGACGTATGAGCTTCTTTTGATCGGCCTTAGTTGGTTAGATTAGTGAGTTATCTGTCTACTTGTAATAAGAAAAATAAAAGGATATGACACTTAGGAAGAATAATTTGAATTTATCCATTAGAGAGATTCGGAAACTGAAAATGAGGGTTAATAGCGGAAGGCCATGATTAATAATCAATAAATAATGGGGAAGGATAAAGCATGTTTTCTTTAGTTTTGCTATATTCATACTAACGACAATGGAGTTCGTTATATTCTTGTTCCGTCTAGATATTGGGCGGTCCATCATAAAGTGCCTCATTGGTAGGCGGTATAGTGGTAACTAATATCGTGCCCGATGTGCATGAACACGCTCTTCCTGAAATTAACTTCCAGGCCCCAATCATGAGCCCACCTAACTAATTCGTCTAAGTCTGCTTGCAGATAACAACAATCAGTCTCATTTCTTATTGTTCTCCAGATTTTAACATCATCCGCGAACAATAACGTCGACGACTTAAGTAATAAATGTAGTTCATTAATATACAGAAGGAAAAGTGAAGGGCCTAAGATGGTGCCTTGGGGTACACCACTTTTGACAGGTTTCCATTCGGATAGCGTTCCATTGACCCTCACTCTCTGTCTGCGGTCACATAAGAAGCTTCCTATCCATTCCTGTATAGCACCTGTTATTCCAAAGCTCGAGAGCTTGTGCATAAGACCTAGGTGTGAAACCTTGTCAAACGCTTTGCTAAAATCTATGAATATCACGTCGACAGACTGGTCGTTGTCTAGGGCAGCTGTCCAATTCTCTCTCACAATGAGTAAGTTAGTCAAGCATGAATGTTTGTTACGAAACCCATGTTGCTCGGGAGTTAACAGATTGTACGAATCTATGTGACTCAGTAGCTTAGCCCGAATTAATTTTTCAAGTAACTTAACTACTATACTGATCAGGCTAACAGGCCGGTAGTTAGATACGATCCGTCTCTGAACATCCTTAAATATTGGACTAATTATGGCGTCTTTCCAGTCTCTAGGTAGTTGAGCCTGTGAAAGGGATATGTTGAAGAGCATCGTGAGCGGTCTTGAGATAATGTCCGCAAGCGATGACAGCAAACGTGGGTGTAACCCATCGGGGCCCGGTATCTTACAAGGTTTTAGGTTAGTTATCAAAGGAAGAACAATATCCTCTGTCACGTGCAAAGGTCCTATGGCTGGTATATCATTGTCAACGAGACAAGTAGTTGTAACACTACACGTAGAGTAGACTTCACTGAAATAGTTAGCAAATATCTCGGCTTTCGCTAGGTCAGATTCAGCCAATAAAGCCGAATTTTCGATTAACAGTAATGAGGGGATACCGTCACTACGTTTCGTCTGCGTTTTAACGTACGAAAACAGTCGCTTCGGACAGGTACGGCTATCGTATGACAACTGTCGTTCGTAAGCCGTGCGGAATTTAGCTATGGTCTTTTTACATATATTCCGGATTTTTTTATATTCGCACCTAAATGATGCCTGACCTGTTGACAAGAATAAGTCCCAGAAGTGCTTCCTACGCTTCAACAGCTTCCGGGTTTCCTTATTAATCCATGAAGGGCAATATGATAGCTTACGTGCTGACCATGGGATAAACGGTTGAGTTACGGATTCGAACGTAGACATAAACCTATTCCATGCATCATCAATCGACCCATCAGCATTGACCGACCAGTCAATCGAGATAGCATAGTCCCTTATTGCCGGAATATTAGCTCTCCAGATATTAGGACGGGGTGGAGCAGATGCAAATTCTATACCATGTATCCGGAACTTAAAGGAAAGTACGACATGGCCACTATTCACCAGTGGGGGAAGGTGTTGAATGTCGACAATATCTTCACCGTGGTGTGTGAGGACAAGGTCTATCAATGACGGATTATGTTCCAAGTCTATATGCGTCGGCATAACGGTACATTGTACAAGTGCACATTGAATAATTGATGACAGAAGGACGCTATCGAAACCCCCACATGGAGCTGTGAGCTCTATCCAGTTTATATGGGGTGCATTAAAGTCTCCAACGATGAGACAACATTCTGCTTTACTCCAAGAACAGACGTGTTTTAGGATAAAGTCGTCAGCGAGACAACACGGACTACGATATATTCCTCCTATTGTCACTAATCCGTTTCTAGACCTAATTGTACAACATACTACCTCACCCGTACCACTTACATGCGCCTCCGATATGATCGAGTTAATGCGGAAGTGGTCCCTAATATATAATAATATGCCTCCTCCCTTGCGACTTCTAACTCTATCACTTCTGATACAGATGTAGCCTGAAATGACTGGAGAACAGTCTATATCTACAGTGAGCCAAGTTTCGGTGATGACAATTATATCCAAATTTAATTCGTCTACCATCAAACTTAGCTCAGACATCTTATTCCGAAGACTAAGAGCATTCGTATAATACATATTTAGGGTGTTTTTGGAGACATACGTTCTACCCACACAGGTCTCGGAAGCATTGGATTCCAAGACCTGACTACCCGAAAACCCTTAATCGTAAGGTTCGCTTCACCGTTTAGCTCTCGAGTTTTTAACTCTGTTAGGGCATTCCTCCACTTGATCCGATCCTCAAGTGGCCAGTCAGGTCGAATACGAATGTTTGAATCACGAGTTTTGCGCACGTTATTTAGTACTACGTCCCTTTCCTCAAAATTACCGAGTACTAATTTAAGGATCCTTCTCTGTTGGGTTTCGCCTCCAACATATTTACCGAGTCTGATGACTTTCGAGATATGTACCCCTGGGACCTCATCGGGCAGTATATTTCTGATGAGAGATCCCACTAACTGCAAGTCGTGGGCTTGTCTCTTAGCGGGATCGATGTCTTTCGATTCTTCCAAGTTCCAGACGATTACACTAGGGACCTGTTTAACTTCCTTAGAAGTCGTGTTCACGGCCTTCGACCGTGATGTCAGATCCTGCCGGTTAGCTACCGGCTTCTCACTGTTAGCTTTCTTTATAACAGTGTCATGTGGGTTGAGCGAGTGACTCACAACAACATTTGGTGAAGTTAAACTGTTCCCATCCACAACAGTACTAAATATTTTCTTACATTTGGACTTGAGCGGAGTTGCCTGATGCTCAGGACGTGAGACCAACGAGGACTTATCGACTATACGCGCGCTTTCTTTGGGTGTTTTTCCGTCTATTTTGCGCTTCCGCGTAATCCATTTGCCACTATTCTCAGCATCCAGATTGGAATTATTCTGGACGATAGTAGTTCTAGCCGGGTCATCAGTCGCTGCTAAAGCAACTGGTCCCTCATTACTTAATGGCATGGCTTTCATTGGTTGTATCGGAGTAGAAATTTTTGCTTCATGTTGCGAAATTGGGTGTCTGGTACCTGCCATGGCAGAATTTACGACACTGATACAATCTTCATTATCAGTATCCACGTTGCCGGCACGGCCTACTTCGACCTTTTTAGCTAACGCTAGAAGGCTGATGGCTTCCTGAATGAGTAATGTCTTACTTGAGCAACAAAACATACAGAGCCAATGAGAATTTGGTTTCGAGCACCTTTTATAGGCAGCAGGGCTTAAGCGGGTGCACATTTTGTGAAACCACTTCTTACATTCGTCACATTGCATCCCTTCTTCCACGGAGAATAAGCAATATGGCTGTTCACATTTGTGTGCAGAGCCGACCATCTTAGAATGAAGCAAAATGATAAGCAAGGTAGATATGTTAGACAAATCACAACATTAATCAAACAAACAAACCGCAGTCGACCAATAATGCTTTGATGCAGTAAATACACAAAAGCAGGATAACAACACACAAATACAACGTCACGTTAACTGAAATAAATTCAATTAAAGTGTAAATAAATAAAGTGTAATAAATAAATTATATATTAATCACATAGTTGATTTAATTTCAATGTATTGGTGATCCATTAATACTAGAAACAGAAGCCCGTTAGGCGAAAAGTCCTCCTATTCCGTCCACAACTATTTAAACCGTTTAGGTGTAAGCGCGTTCTACGTCCTTTACGTTACAAGCGCCAGAAGTTGTACAGTTTATATTACTTGTTTGCTTACCTAAAGGACGCTGTCGAATAAGCAGAAGTATGCAAGTGGATTCTGGGTCGTTAGGCGTAAGAAATATAATTTGACACTTGACTAATAATACGGAAGATTAATAAAGGAGAAATAATGGGGAATTTTGTGAATTATTAAGGCGATTCCTTAGGAAATGTCTTTGTGAATATGAGCGAAATTACATCAGGTTGTCGCTTTTTTTCCAGACCGATGCGATTAGTTGGTTTCCTCCTGTGTAATACCCTGTCAAGTGGAAATATCTAGTAATTAACGTTCCTTTTTATTTTGTCAAATGTCAGAATGGGAATTTTCACCATATAGCAATTAACTACTTAAACTTCCCCAAAATTACCATCGTACTGTCTACTCCCTGGAATTTCCTACGAACTGTCTACTTTTCTCTCATATTAACATTTTAAGCCGTTGAATTTATGTGTTATCAACAGACTAGTCTACTACCATCTTTATACGTAGGCAGTTTGCCCTCAATTCCTCAGGGCAACCTAATTTTCTACGCACTCTAAATAGTTCATAAACTTGGTTTGTGTATAAAAAGTTAGTAACACGTCTCGCCTACGTTTTGCTTGAATGGTCTATAGTATTTACCTACAGGTGATAGTTAAACATCAAATTTTTGACTAGTAGATATTGTTATCTTAAACTATTCCGTAAAAGGAGAAAGAATGTAATTAAAGTGTGGTTTATTAAACGTATTTATTTTTTTAGGAGTGCTCTCTAGTTCAAACAAGATACTAATGAAGACCTTATAAATCCTAGAGTAGCGTTTAATTGCAATAGTCACATTTACGATCAAATAATAACAATCTAATCATTTCTTTAACCTTCATGTACTAGGTTTCAAGTCTAAGAAACGATAAAGTGTGAAACACTGCACAATTTTCTGTTCTTTGTGATAAATAGGAACCCCATTGTCTACGTTATCTGTGGCAGAAATCGGGTACTCAAAGCTGTATTTAGTGAATAAGTTAGTAGTGTACAGAATGGCTAGTATGGTTGAAAATTGGCCACCATGACTCATTACTCATTTCATATCTTCCTCTAAATTGTACATAATCTATCGTTTTTTTCATATATTTGTTCGCTTTAAACTGATTAGTATTATTATTTGGACACAAACATTGGTACAAGAGAGCATCAAATACATATGCGCCACACAGTTATTATTGATTTTTGTGTAAGGGATATGGTACTGCCCGGGTGCCCGGACCGAAGCAGGTGGTTTTCTTAGGAAGTCACTCTCCGAGCCTTTGACCTTAAAGTCTAATCCATGCGACAGTGGGGCAACGTTAGGAGATGCAGTCCCACAGTGGCCGGTGCCCAACAGTGGGTTTTAACGTCATTATCCCCTCATGTTCCTGGAGTCCACGTAGACTTCTGGGTTTTCAAATTCCCGTAGGTGGATCCTCCCTATCCACTGACCTGGTTAAGGCAGCGTACATTCGGCTTTTGTCCTCTCAATTTCGTAATCAATACCCCCACCTTGAGAGGGCGTTGAGCCGGACTTCGCTGACAGTGTCTGTATACGTGTGGTCTTGTGAGTGTTTTGAGAGGGAGAGCTGACTCTCCTCGACTCCGACCATACTAGGGCATTTGACGGCTAATGTTCTCGTTTGTTTCGATAAAAAGGTGTGACTAATTTTTTGTGTTGATATCTGTGTATATGGAGTTAATTTAACGTATTTTATTTTAGAAAATGGGACTGTGTACCAATCCTAGTTTAGTCATCCCATATGGATCTCATTCTTCAGGGCAGTGTGGTTATTGTAAAAATAGTTCGGACGACAAGAAGACTAATTGGGGTAACACTATACAATTTTAGGAAAACACGTAATAATATGTTTATTTCATCAAAGGTATGATGGCTGAACGACTTACTGTTTCAGATTATCAATATATGATCGATCGAGGATGGCGTCGGTATGCTCTTTTTTCAATTGCTGATATAAATGTTCACAGGTCAGGTACTTACTGTTATAAACCTTTGAATGATATTACTTGTTGTCCATCATATACTATTCGGTGTGATGCATTACAATTCCATTTAAAGAAATCACATAAAAGAGTGTTGAAAAATATGTATAATTTTTTAAAATTTGGACAGTTACCTCATGAAAAAATGTCTCATCAAAAAGAGGATCCTAATAATCTTAGAATAGACGATCATCGTATGTTTGTTTCTGAGGAAAACGTGCCGCCTGTTTTATCGTTTAAAAATGGTAAATTGATTATTAGTTTTATGTTGGTAACTATATGTATTGTTCTGTTGTCATTGTTTTAATTATAAAAATACGAGTGTCAGTCGTCAGTCATAATCAATATAAGGTGTGGTAAAATTACGTATGAATATTTTATTGAAGATAGCAGAAATCCTTGACTATTGGTGTGTACTTGTGTTTGTAGGTCTTATTCCCCAAATCATTCTTTTTTCTCAAATCACAGTGTAGCAGTTATTCCGTAGTCATTCAAAACATACATACGTCCAAACACTTCATATCTCGACGTGCAATTTTGCCTATGGTAGGGGGATGTTGGACGAAATCTAGGGTTACTCAGATCTAAAAATGGAATCAATCCATAAAACGATTGATTGTTGAGCTGAGTGGCATTAGCATGTTCAGATTATCTGATGTGATTCTGGGCAATGACTGCGACTAGGCGTTGAAGAGATCGGGTGACATGGTACAGAATTGATTTTGATGCTATTTTTGCATTCACTTTTTATCTTCCCTTATATATTGAGTTTAGAGATACTCTTTAATTTCTAAATTCATCGTTTTTTTGGTTGTATTTCCTAACATTTAATCTTCATTGCTATTATAATTTCAACTCTTGCTATTCATCTTGTTTTGTCAATGTGATATAGAAACTTGGTCTGACACAGGTTAGTTTCAAACTTGATTTTGGCCATGGCTGACATCAAAAGTAAGGACGTTAAGTTGTCTAACTAAAGTCGGTCCATGATGTAAAACCATAAATTTAACAATTTCTAATGACCCTTCACACTAATTACTGTTTATACTTAACAATTTAATGTTAAACAGTCATCGCAGTTCAACAAAATGAAGAGAAAACTAAAAACCAAACAAATATATATCAAACAGATTGTTTCAGCGATGAAGTATCTTCATCATCAACAAAGAACACTCCTAGTACATCACATACACTAAATACACCAAATAATAATGATGATAATAAAAATGTGGAATTTCAAAGTAATTCATCAAGTGATAGAATTCAAAGTTCATTATCAGATGGCAGTCACAAAATAAAAGCTCATCTTCGTCGTTGGTTAGCTAAACAAGAACATTTACGTCACAGAAGCCTAAAAGAGAATCGTTCATTTGAAATTTTACTTCAGGTATTATTTTCTAGTATATTTTTCAAAAGAAGATATTATAAATTTTTTTTATGTTGTAAAATTAAAGATGGTAGTTGGCGAATAGATTGTTTAGCTAACTGTGTACTTTGAACACTCGATTTGTAACTAAATAATTCACGGTTTGAAATCCGTTCATCAGTCTTTAATATGAAGTACAAAACTTAGGTTTACTGAGACCAACACTAACTACAGCATTATAATTGTTTACTTAACTTAGACTGGCCTGCTTCGGTCTGGGCACCCTAGCAGTATCCCAGTCCTCACACATGTTAAATGATTTATGTGAAGCATATGTATTTGATACCTCCTTGTACCAGTGTTTATGTGTTTAAATAAATAAATAAAACAGACTGGGTATAATGGGTATTTGTGTATACTTACCCATATAAATTAATTATGGAAAGTATATGCTTAAACCGTTCGAACTGAGAGTAACGGCTCTTTTTATTAGTGTTACATTTTACTTGCTGGTTTGGGAGTCTCTGTAATATGTTATTCATTGTCAGCTATTGAGTAATCACATTGGAACCTTTTTATGTAACTTAGTGTAAACAAGCGTACACTTTTCAGATGTACATCTAGACTACGGAAATATTTAAAAATATATCAAGAGACTATAATATGCAGTGACAATATACTAGACAACTGTTTTGTTCTACGTGTGCTTGTTTGCGAGCTATACTTTAAAGTTTAAACCATCCAGAATTCAACTATTGGGTTGTTGGTTTAATATGCTACTTCACCTACTTTAGTTCAGTCAACTATATATCAGTAGTTGTTCTCACCCACATACTATCATTATCAGTTGTTGAAGGCTCTGGGTTACACGCATGAGATCCACTTGAATATGTGTTTTGTGCTGTTTAGTACTCATCAGCGAGGTGTAGCTGTATTCTTATGGGAAATGATACTTTATCTCAGATTCGACCCCGTGTCATTCAGCTTTACAGTCTGAGACGTAACCACTTATCGATTATGATCGCGACTAACCTGTAGAAAAGACTGAAATATTTACGATTTTCCGGTCACTGAGCAGTGACCAATATCGTGTTCGTCAACCCTTTCTTAATGCTGATCGGATTCTATTTCAGTGTCTCCTGTCGATCTCTTCCAATCACCTGATATACCAATATGGTACACGTGACATCAAGTCGCTTAGGCTGGTGATCATATTGCAACTTAATCGATAGAATTCAATCAGTATTAAAGGACTAGACAAACATGACATTGATCGCTACTCCAAAAAATCAACCGATTGTAAGTGTTGCTAACTAACTAACTAAAAACAAACATTTTTCATTGTGAAAAGTTTTCAATTGTTTCTCATTTGTTGTTGTTGTTATTGCTACCAGGAGTATTATGAAAGACGTCAGAAACGTTTAGATAAAAATAAACCAAAACAAATCGAAGATTTTCTACAATCTGAACCAAACAAAGGGGAAGGGAAGCACTTTATCGAAGTATGTATGCAAATTTTCGTTTTTTTTATTCTAATGGAAAGAATGATATTTATACCAACTAATTCATGAAATTTATAATTAGTTGTTTCACTTTATTCTGGAATCCTTTAATTGATTGATGGCTTGTGCAAACATCTGGGTTTCAAACTCGAAATCTATTCATTCAAATCTTATACTACTTTTCATAGTTGGAATCATGAGTCGATTGAAGCTAGACTCATGATTTCAACTATGAAAAGTACTGAAATCTCCACAAATCCCCTTCTGATTATAATCATATGCTCACTAGTGACTGATTTCAAGATACACGTCCTGGAGTTCTAGTGGGAATCAGTGACCAGGGGAGTTCAACCACGTCTGTTGTGAGATAACGACTCACTGAAGACAATTGGTGAACGGTTGCTCAAATTTCGTAGATTGGTTGAAGTTAGACATTAACACCGTTGGATGCCGGCCGGCTCAGTGGTCTATCGGTTAAGTGCTCTAGCGCGAGACTGGTATGTCCTGGGTTCGAATCCCGCGAGTGCGGGGTCGTGGATGCGCACTGCTGAGGAGTCCCATAATAGGACGAGACGGTCGTCCAGTGCTTCCAGGTTTTCCATGGTGGTCTAGCTTCAATTGACTCATGATTTCAACTATGAAAAATACTGAAATCTCCACAAATCCCCTTCTTATACTATTTTTTTTCATATCAAAAAGTTTGTGGTCAAATTCCCTTGTATGGTTCCCGTTCACTTATTCATCATTTAGGCATTGAAACTCAAACATAATCATGGACAACAGTTCCACTGGAATATAGACTCTCAACATTATATGATGACAAGCATATTTCCTGGATTTTTATAGATTTATTTTATTTATATATTCCGTAAATATATTAAAAGTTAGGTTTTCACACTTACGTCTAAGACACTGAGATGCGTTCCCACATGAGTGTTCTCCCTCTGTTGAAAGAGTGAATCAATTGAAGCTAGACCACCAGGGAAAACCTGGAAACACTGGACGGCTGTCTCGTCGTAGTATGGGACTTAGCAATGCGCATCCACGATCCCTCATATGAAATTTGAAACCAGGACGTATCGGTCTCGCACGCAAGCACTTAATCTATAGATCACTGAGCCGGAAACCAACGGTGTTAATGTCTAACGTCAACCAATCCACGAAATTCTGCAACTGTCCATCGTTGTCTTTAGTGAGTAATTGCCTCTACAACAGATACGATGAACTCCACTGGCCACAGTTTCTCAATAAAACTCCAGGAAATACCTCATGAAGGCGGTCACTAGTGAGCACATGATGATTATTATCAAAATGGTTTTTTTGTGGATTGTAGTAATTAGAAATAATTGAAATGGTTGATATATGCAGGAGTACTATGCAAATATAAAAAATCGGTTGATGAGGTAGTAAATCTCCCTCGACTGAGGCGACTGGGATATGTGTATTGTGTTTCCAACCTCAGATTACCTCGATAAGTAATATTTATTGGTGTATGAGTAGGTTGTAAGTTAGAGGCGAGTAAATGAAGACATGACATTAGTTTGTGAGGTCATTGATTATCTGTAAAGGTACATACCACGATTCAATTTATTGTGTTACTGGTTAATATAGCGTCGGTCAGAGTAAACTGTCGCTTAACATACTTAATACTATGTCTTGGTCAGTGAAAACACCCGGTAAGACTATAATTTATGGGTAAACCAATTAGATTTAAGATAGTGAGTCTCCGATTTTGGTGCGAAATGCATTCATCCGTATGGCTAAATAGCATTTCGGAATTATAGCTGATGTCAGTTCGTGATGAAAACCCTAACTCTAGTTATTAAAACATGTCTAAGCTATTGAAGTGGGTGAACACACTGGTGAATATGAGAATTACCAATGTAGTGTTGCCATCCTATATCAGTAATCCTTCAGCGATGACAACTATCAAACACAGAGAGTCGCCTAAAATCTTCATCTCGGGGAGAGGGTTTCACAAACATTGCGCAGAAATTCTCTCACCGACTCGTTTTAAGCCCGATATTTTACAACCAAACTAACACCACAACGAATCAAAGATGATCCAGATTGGTATACACTGCTCTGGCTTTCACTTTGCGCGGATTGATTTCATTAGATACACCGCAAGTAAGACTTGCACAAATACCCATATATATGAACTTTTCGACTATTTCTAACGGCCCTCTATAAAGTGTGACTGCAGATACATGCTCTTGTCAGCTTTGTAAAAGTACTTTGATTTTGAAAGGTGTAGAGTACATGTCGTCTGATTCTCCAAGTATCTATATTTTATTTATTTTCAAGGTATTTGGCAACAAAATATTTATTATCAGAAGGGGTTTTGTGGAGATTAAGTATTTTCATAGTTGAAAGCGTGAGTCAATTAAAGCTAGACCACCAGGGAAAACCTGGAAGCACTGGATGGCCGTTTCGTCCTATTGTGGGACTCCTGGGACTGCTTAAAATGAATGCATATGAATCCATATTTTGACACATGTTATCAAATGTTTGCTATTCCACTGGTCATGATCATTGACCATATCTCAAGGAAATAGTCATTCGCTTCCATAAACAGATATTTCGTCTTTATTTAGGAACCTATACATTTCTTGCAATATACCGTCCTGTTAGCTAGTACTATACGTTCCAGGTAGGTGTTGGTTAGAGATGCGTAACACATATACAGTACAATAAATGCTACATATTTGTACAAAGTTATACATTACTTATGAGTAACTACTATCATTACTACTATTATACCATTCAAGCTGAGGTGCTTAAACCTGGTAGGGTTCGCACTTCTTGCAACCTAATAGTTCAAAGAGTAATATTTCACTATTATATTGTTTAATATTCATTAGGCGTTATATTTCACTCGGCTATTTCCAAATAATGACTAGAATCGGGCGGGAACCTCGTATATTTTAATAATCCAAACTACGGAGATATATCATAACAATTGTAGTTTATATGTGATTTTCATAAGAATCTTTTAGTATCCTTTAAACTTATCCACTAACTCACTCCAATTTGATCTTGATACTGAAATGCACTATTTGCATTCAGGGCTCTATCTTTTTAACAAGTAAGGTAAATTCATTTAGTATTGTTTGTTTAAATCTTCCCATTAATGTTTAGGACTGCCAATGATCAGTCTTTAATTGGCATATGTGCATACTGTGCGTATTGCCTCGATATAGCCTTATTTCACAAGCATTGTAAACAAAGATGGATAGTGGCTGGCAGTGGAATCCAGGATGTGCGTTTAGTCCTATTCTGGACTCGTCAGCTGGATGTACCTGCATCTCAGAGTTGATGTTCACTCTGCTACTCGAACCCAGTACCTTTCGCACAAAAGCCATCACGTTATCCACTCAGCTGCTGAGTCCTGATAGCCACTTGCTTGTGCAATGGGATGAAGTTTAAATTAATTTAGTATTGTTTGTTTGAATCTTCCCATTTATGTTTAGGACTGCAATTGGTCAGTCTCTAATTGGCGAAAGGTACTGGGTTTGAGTCTCAGAGTGAACATGGACTCTGAGATGCAGGTACATCCAGCTGACGAGTCCCGAATAGGACGAAACGCACGTCCTGGATTCCACTGCTAGCCTTTATACATCTTTGCTTACAAAGTAAGATAAATGTTTCAAGTACTGATAGACCATTTACTATTTACTATTTACTATCTTTATTTCATCTTTATCAATCTTTGCATCTGATAATATCACTATTCTTTTGTAATTAATAATTCTCATATTACAGATTCGTTTAATACGTACATCTTCACCAACAGATATCGATTATGAATCGCGTATAAAATTATCTCATAAAATTTATGAACAATATCAAATTCACATACATAATGATGATAAAGAAGATTGTACTTGGGAGAGATTTCAACGTTTCTTAGTTAAATCACCATTAGTATTGGTAAGAAATATAATAATAATGATAATAATAATGCCCTGGTTCTGTCGAGAGTGGGGAGAGTTCGCTCTCCCTCTCGAAATGCTCTCACATGGCCACGTGTATATAACCTCTGCCGGGGAAGTCCTACTCACTGCCTTCTCGTGGCGGGGGTGTTGTTTAAGAAATTGAGGGGACGAAAAGCGAATGTCCGGCACTTTAGCTGGGTTGGTGGACACGCAAAGGGGCACCAGGTACATGTGCGCCACACAAATCTCATTTGATTTGTGTGAGGGCTGTGATACTGCCCAGGTGTTCAAACCGAAACAGGTGGTTTTCTAAGGTAGCCACACCCGGAGCCTTTGACCTAAAGATCTGATCCACAAGGCAATGGAGCATCGTAAGGAGATGCAGTCCCATGGTAGCCGGTGACCAACGATTGATTCATATGCCATTTATTCGTTCAGAATACTGGAGCCCATGTGCACGATTGGTTTGGAATCAGGGTTTCCCAACCCCCCTAGGTGGACTTTCTGTGTCTACCAACCTGGTTAAAGTGCCGGACATTCGCTTTTCGTCCTCTCAATTTCATAAACACCCCCGCCACTAGAAGGCAATGATTAGGACTTCCCTGGGAGAGGCTATATACGCATGGCCATGTGAGAGCATTTCAAGAAGGATAGCGGACCCTCCCCACTTTCGGCCATACCAGGGCATTTGGGGGCTGTGTTAATAATAAATTGAAATTCTATAGATGCGAATAGTTTTAATATATAATTTTTTCTAATAACCCAATGTCAATTAAATTATGACAAAATTTTAACTCTTATTGTTTATGATTGTCAAATTAAAACTTTACTGATAAAATCCAATCAGTTTTAGGTAATAGACAACACAACGTTGTTTACTACTCAGTTATCGATCAGTGTAAACATCTCAGTTTTACAGTAGACCATTAGTTATCGATATAGATGTGACATTCAGTGGTGCAAGCTTGAATTTTATATCAAGCATCAAAACTTACCCTCCTCAAGATTATTGATTAGCCTTCCATGATAAGTAATATCAACTAGTTTAAAACCTAAATTCAGAGTTCTCTTGTTGTTTCTTTCAACTGTTTGAACGTTTGAGATGATACTTGTTAATTCGATCATGATTAACTGACCGAATCTAAAATATATAGTTTATATGTTATCTGAAAACTGTATGTACAAGTATGTCAACACACACTCATACCCAGTTTTCTAACAGTATCTGCTACTTAGACATAGTGGTTGGTCTTGTCCTTCGTGATGGGCCAGTCAAACTGTATTAGTAGGAATACTCTTTCTGTTAAGTTATACTGCACTAAAGAGGCCGGTTGGAGAGCAGTAAGTTTGAAACCAGAGCAATCAAGGTTCAAGAGTGAAGTCGTACTACCGGCTATCCTCTGTTGTAAGGGAAGTAAAGTATTTTCTTCTGGAAAACCTACATCTATAGCGGTTCTACCTTCTTAAAAGGATAGAAGATTATAGAATGCCGACCCTAAAAATAATAAGGTTGAGGTTATCTAACGGATTTCCATCATCGGCGGTAAGGTTTGACTGGTACAAAGCTGATATATCAAGAATAACCTGAAAAACCGTATGTGACCGCCCTAAAGTTATTCTCCTTTGGGCTCTGTAGTAATACTCCTAGATTGACAAGATCACACTCAAGGTAAATCCCTTTTCAGGCCCCTCAATCAGTCAGTCAGCTACAACGTAGGACCAGGCACACGTATGCATCGGTCCAAGTTGCCATACCTCAATAGCACAACAAGATGAACACAAAATTCATAGAACTAGTTAATTTAGTGGTGCCAGTATATAAAAGAAAGGTTGTATATAAGGATATAGTACAGAAAGGAAGATAAGTATGAAGCAGTTTTAATCTCAAGGTTTAAGGGAAGATAAAGAGTGTATACACCTACGCCATTGTGATCGATTCTGTGTCATGTCACCTAGAGTCTCCAACCATTGGTTAAAATAGTCACCCGGACCCTCAATAAGAAGTATCTTTCTACAAGATAAACAACTATCACTTCCCGACTGCCTGTTTACCTTTAACTGCATTAAAGACTACCTTGTTCATATACATAAGTTTCAAGTAGAATGTCGATGTATTGGAGGTCATTGTTAGAATGATTTTAAGTTTTGCTTACTTCTTCTTACTTAGTAGTAAAACTTATCTATAACTATAATCACTAACCATACAATGATCTTGAGTGCTGTTAGAGGTATGAGGGCAGTTAGCACTTGCCGGTTACCTACACCGTGTTAAGTTCTTCTACACGTACCTGAAGAGAAAATTGGATTAGAAGTAGTCTTAATGATCTCAGAGCGTGACCGCAGTGCCCAAGGGATAATTCCTTGAGGCCCTTCACATACGACATTTTGGTGGGTAATTTTCGTGTTAGCTCCATACCTGTTGCGACCTTACCACCGGAGACGGAAATCCGTGGGATAAGGCGAGGTGTGCATTTTTTATGGTCAACCTTTTCTAACCCCACCCCTCCTTGTGGGAAGGCAGCACCTCTGTTATGCTGGTTGTCTAAAGGAAACACCTTACTACAGTCACACGTCTGTACAGTCAGCAGTATGAGTTCACATTCGGACCTTGGGTTTGCTGTTTTTATTCTTATCGCTCTTCAATCGACCTGCCTGGCATAGTAGAACCTTGAGGAACGATTGTTCTAGTCAGTATAGCTCGATTGGTTCATCACGATAGGCGATCCCGACCACCACATCAAGGTAGCAGCAACGGTCGGGAATCGATCACAATGGCGTAGGTGTATACACTCTTTATCTTCCCTTAAACCTTGAGATTAAAACTGCTTCATACTTATCTTTCTTCCTATACTATATCCTTATATACAACCTTTCTTTTATATACTACCACCACTAAATTAACTATTTCTATGAATTTGGTGTTCATCTTGTTGTGCTAACGAGGTATGGCAACTTGGACTGATGCATAAGTGTGCCTTGTCCGACGTTATAGCTGACTGACTGACTCATTAACCATATATACTTGGACACTACAATCATAAATGATTATTGTGTACAAAAAATTATTGATTGACATTTATGTGCAAATTTCCTGTGTATCACTGAATGAATTCTTTTAAAGGATGATTTTGAATGGAATTCAACTTCACCAATGTTTGGTTCTTATCATCAACAATATTGGCTTGATGGTGAAAAATTAATTGCTGTCGGTGTTATTGATCTACTTCCACGATGTCTTTCATCAGTTTATGTTTTCTACGATCCAAACTATTCATTTCTCCATCTTGGTACATATACTGCTTTACGGTGAGTCATTAAACATAGTTATTTTATATAGTTTATTTCACTCACATATTTATGTTAATAACATTGACTGCGAATGGTGTTCTGAAGTGAAGTACACTGAAGTAAGTCAGTCAGTCATTTACAACGTAGAACTTCGTACGTACGTACATCAGTTCAAGTTGCCATACCACATTCGCACACACTGAAGTAAGTCAGAACTCATGACTCACTAGTTCTTATAGTAAACTTTTTAATCATCAGACTATTGTCCCACTACATCAGCAATACACTATGGGCATTGACTAAGTTATCTTTTGATAATTAGTTCTCGATTAACAGACATTTCTATATCTCGATAGAAGTTATCGTCTGGAATGTTTTATTGATGTGGTCGGTTCCATGAATGGATGAGTTTTCTAAACAATTGACTATGTAGCGGCAGTATAGATCGAGCTTCTTAATAGCCTCCTTAAGTAAGCCATATATATATATATATATATATATATATATATATATATATATATATAAATGTATACACAAATACAAGTATATGGTTATTTCTTGATTCGATTAGACAATAAACTTTCTCCTTCATTTTCACCCTTTCACCCTAGTGACAGGGCTAACACGCCCCTAATTGGCCTAATACGACCGAGGGTGGGGAGAGTCATCTCTCCCTCTCAAAATGCTCTCACATGGCCACGCGTATACAGCCTCTTCCAGGGAAGTCCTACTCACTGCCTTCTCGTGGCGGAGGTGTTGTTCACGAAAGTGAGATGACGAAAACCGAATGTCCGGTGCTTTACCTGGGTTTGTGGGCAAGGCGAGTTCACCTAGGGGAGTTGGAAAACCCTGATTCCAAACCAATGATGCACATGGGCTCGACGATCGTGATGGGAAAAACGGCGTATGAACCCATTGTTGGTCATTGATTGTCACGAGACCGCATCTCCTTACTTTGCTCCACTGCCTTTAGGTTAAGGGCTCGAGGAGTAGCCTTCCAAGAAAACCACCTGTTTCAGTCTGAGAATCCGCACAGTATCACAGCTCACACATAAACCAAGTGACTTGTGTGTCGCATATGTATTCGGTGCCTCTTTTGTACCAATGTTTATGTGTTCAAATAAGTAGATAAACAGGGCTCACGCATAGTAAGAGTATGTAACATTATCAGACCTTAGACACCATATTCAACGATAGATCGTTAAAAAGTAGCTAGGGATCAATCAGTCCATAAATTCATCGATCTAACTAACTAGTCTACAGAGTTTTAGATGCATAAATATTGTAAACACTAAAATGTTCTATTCTGTGTTTACTTTCTGTTTATTTTCTATTCGGAATCTGTGTTATTGTTGGGAGTCTCATCAGCCCTTCTGGTCTGGTGTGTGACGAAATTTCGGCACAGATACGGAAGGCTCGACTAGCTTTCACCAACTTGCATCATTTATGGCATAGGCGAGATATCCGTCTAGCAACCTAAGGAAGGTTTTACTGCGTAGCAGTTCGTTCCTTCCTACTTTATGGCAATGAAACATGGCCGATAAGAGTAGAGGATATTCGTAGGCCACTAGTATTCGATCATAGGTGTCTTCGACGCATTGCTCGTATATTTTGGGACCACTGGGTAACTAATGCAGTTGTTAGGAAACGGATAATAGGTAAGGATGGCAAATCAACTGATGAAGTAGTGAAACTTCATTAGTTGAGATGGCTGGGACACGTGTTGCGTAAGTCCAACCACCGACTGACCCGACGTGCGATGTTTTATGGTGTAGGAGTAGGTTGGAAGAAAGGCGGCCAGACCAAAGCGTGGTACAAATTCATGAAGTCACTGACAATTGGACTGAGCCATGTTGGTAGGTGTAGACTACCTGGTTGGGATTCGCGAGATGATAACAAACGATGGTTAGAGACCTTGAATGACATGACTCAAAATGGTTTGTAATGGCGAGGGTGCATCCACTCTTTGTGTTCTCCCAAATTCTAATCTTCTGAATTCTTCATGTCTCTATCTTTTATCTCTTTCCAAATATATTTCATTGGATTATACTCCTTGAATAACATATTCAAACCCTAATCTTTCTGATTACTGCTTATACTCTTACTACTTCTACCACTATGGGATTTGAATCGATAAGTGCATCTTTGTGTTAATGTGGTATGGCAAGTCGAACTGATGTACGTACGTACGTACGTACGAAGTTCTACATTGTGACTAACTGACTGACTGACTTGTTTTATTTTATTCATTCATTTACTCGTTTTCTTTCCATAACATTGTTATCTACTTTAGTTCATTGTAAATTATTTACCTTTCAATATGAGTTAATCGATCAATAGTTTTTTTGTTTCCAACAGAAATACACTTTTTTTTATACTTTAGTTACATCATGTTTTGATATTTTTCCAATGTTTTTTAAAATTGTTGTATATCATCAATACGTGTTCATTTACCAGATATAAACAAGCAAATGATTCTTATGAAGTATTTATCATTCAATCAACTGCATAAATATTGTTAATCTCTTTTATTATAATAGTTTATCATCATTGTCACTGTGTAATTTTGCATAAAATAATAAATTGGTTTACCGTAACTGAGTTTTCGTTCACTACAGTAGTAGTGTAGTGGACAAGATTGTTTGTCAGTAGGGTGTAGAGGAATGTAGGGTCGAAGTTACAATAGCTGTCAGACGGAGGGAGCAGTTTCAGTACTGAAAGATGCAAATAAACGATTGATAGCTATGTATATGTATTATGTAAATACTTTTTGTCTTCTCACGATAAATATACACTCCAGCCTATTGCCTTCATACATTTGGTGTCACTGCCTACGGCAAGGCAGAGAGAGGCAGTTTTGCGGACGCCGTTGCGGGGCTGGGACAGGTGTTGCTTTTTAGGACGATCTGACCCTGGTACATGTCAAATGGGTTGGTATGGTGAGCTGGTGTTGGGTTTAGCGGTCGCTGTAGACAGAGAGGAGGCGTTGGACGTCTTAAGCACTGGGCTGACGTCGGATTCAGATAACTCGGCAGGTCGACAGAGCTATGTTGTTGTGTCTTCCATTTTATTTATTAATTTATTTGAACACATAAATATTAGTACAAAAGGGGCGCCGAATACATATGTGACACACAAATCACTTGATTTGCCTGTGGGCTGTGATACTGCCCGGATTCTCAGACTGAAACAGGTGGGTTTTTTTGGAAGGCTACTCTCCAAGCCCTTAATGTAAAGACAGTTGAGCAAAGTAAGGAGATGCGGTCCCATGATAACCAATGACCAACAATGGGTTCATTCGCCGTTTGTCCCCTCATGATCCTTTTTTGTGCGTAGCTCAACATTCTCGCCGCTTATATGTGTACTACGAAATATGAGTTGTTTTCTTTTTTTTTGGAGGAAGAGTTCGCGCATTTCAACCTGAATCGATTGTTATTAGTTCTACGATTCTGAATTTTTGTTCTCGATATACTAGAATAAATATGCTACAACTCAACTTGTAGATCTCAGTGTGAACAAATGATTGAGGATATATATTGAATGATTGACCTATTTTAGAATAACCGCCAACTTGTCCGTTAATATTCGAATATTACTTATATAGCGATTGGAATATACACGTCCTTATAGAGGAGGAAATACATTGTTACTAATTATCCCCAAAAAACAATGACATAAGGATTCGTTCCACTGAACAATTAAACCAGTTTCGTTCACTGTTACTATATTATCCCGATGTCAGTAACAATTATGTTAGCATCAGAAAATGGAATATTAGCACAATCAAACAAGATCAATCGTGTCAACACAACTTGTTGTGCTAATGAGATATGGTAACTTGAACCGATGCATATGTGTGCCTAGTCCTACGTTGTAGCTGACTAACTGACTGACTGCTTCCACAACACCCTTACCTTATGGAATAGATGTTATTATAAACATTATTTAAGGATTCTTCTATTGTATAACGTACTACTACTTTCTTATAATTGCATGTTATCTATGTAAAATGTTAACTGAATAAACTATTGACTGTTTCTTTTCAACATAATTACTAGTTCGTTTAATTAATCAAACTTTATCATTAAAAGACAGAATAATTCATCTCAGTAATCATGTACAACTTTGGGTCGCTGAACGTTTTAGTCACACATTATATATAGATATGTGAGAGGGTTAATGGTCATCGATCTACCCTGGGTTTTTTTAACTGAATTAGATACAATAGATCAATCGTATGCAAGATATATTCCCTTAGTCAATAATATGGTTCGATCTAAGTCACCAACTAAATAGATTCAGAATTATATAACCGTCGTAGTCGAGAATCAAGGGTAAACAAGAATTGGATAATAGTGCACATGGGCTCCGTTATCCTGTAGGAACAAATGGCGTATGAACTAATCGTTGGTCCCCGGCTACCATGGGACTGCATCTCCTCACAATGCTCCACTTCCTTATAGATCAGACCTTTAGGTCGAAGGCTCCAGGTGTGGCCCCTTAAGTAATCTACCTGTTTCGGTCTGGGCATCACCCGGGCAGTATCATAACCATCACAAAATTAAATGAAATGAAAATTTTTTTGTGGCACATATATGTCTGGTGCTCCATTGTACCAATATTTATGTGTTAAGATTAAATAAAAAAACAATTGGATAGAACTAGAAAGGAAGACCAATGACAGAGTGGATTGGAGAATGCTGATCAGTGGCCTATGCTCCATTGGGAGGGGGGTAGGGGTAACAGGCATAATTAACTAGATAAGTTGACAATCAAATACTTTAATCACTAGTCTATTGATTTTTGTTGTTACTATGCATAATAACAATTAATATGGCAACCACTATTCATTTTAATTATTTTTTTTTTAGTGAAATTGCATATGTACGACATTTATCTAAATTATATAGTAGTAACAATTCAATTCAATCGGATAGATTATATTCTAACTTTAATTCATATTATATGGGTTATTATATACATAATTGTCGTAAAATGTCCTATAAATCCCAATATACACCTGCTTATTTAGCATGTCCTATAACATATCATTGGATACCTATAAATGATTGTTTACATATATTAAATCAATTCAATTCAATTCATTCTATTATACGTTTTTCATCATTCACTAATATGGATAATAATTCAATACCTAATACAATAGATATAGATATATTAGATTCAAATATTTATTTTTATATCAAAGATAATCATAATAAGAAGAAATCATCATCATCAAAACGATCATCATCGACGTCGTCGTCGACATCTTCATCAACAATAACTATATATACTAAAGAAGATTTTATTCAAAATACACCAATCTCATTATATAATTTACGTTCTTATTTAAATAAACATGCTATACCAATATTTCGTGAATGGGCTAAATTATTAGGTAAACGTGTATTATCTGGACATTTTCAAATTATTATTTCTTCAAGTTAATAATAATAATAATATTATGATCATAGTTACCATGGTGATAATATTCATAATCAATAGAGAAACCAAACAGACAACAACAATGCTTAAAAAGGATGGTGTTTGGTAATCATTATTGTTATTTTATTTAATGAGTATTTTTATTGTTTAACTGATATTATTAACACTCACCCCCTCCCACCTTCATCCTCCTCCCCTCCCCCCAAAAAATACAAAGCATTTTGGCATATAATATCTTATTGTGTTTTTATTTCATTTTACAATGATATTTATTATTTTTTTTGTAAAGTAATTCATACATACACTGGTCTACATTAACAGTAGTTCATAAATCTCATCAATTAAAGGGATATAGTGTTTTTTTTATTGTTAGAAGAAAGTATTTGTTTTTGTTCACTTACAAAAGTGTAAGTGATAGTATAGTGTGTGCTACTGATGTCAATAGATATAAGTAGTATGTGTTATATCCTAGCAAAGACATAAGTACGGGTAACTCCCAGGACCTATTAATGGACGATTATTCTATATATATTCCTTTTGTCTAACTATTGAGTAACTAGATTGTGTATATCTATATTCATCTTATTATAAGCTTCATTTTGATCTATGGATTATTATTATACGATTTACTGTTCCTAAATTATATTCAGTTTATTGATTATTGTCTCCTACGTTCACAGCCACATTTGTCTTGATCTTGTATAAATATTATTTTCTATTTTATGGTGTGATGTGGTCTGTCTGTCTGGTATAAAAAGCGAGTATGTTTGAAATAAAGGATTCGCATAGCAGGAGCTGTAATTGGTGCCTTTGGATTCAATTGGAAGGGTCAGGCGGATAAAGGACCAATAAGGACGCTAGATTACTCATACTAATCGAACGTCATTGATTGTCATAGTGTTAAGGTAGGAAAAGTCGTATTTCCATTGGTGGATAATTCACATGATAGAAGCAGGACATAAAAACCAATAACGAATTAGGATACGTTCTTTGTTTATTTTTGTAAAGTCATAACAGTATGTATCATCGATCGAAAAGGGGGATGGCTAGAGGTAGAAGGTTATAAAGATCAAAGAAAAGAGAATGATAACAGAGAATTATTAGTGTGGAAACGACGAAAGAACAATGAAATCTGAGATAATTGATGGTGTTATATCTGAAGCGTTTCGAATTCACTAATTAGCGAACATAACAAAGACTTGTGACCAGAGACCGATAAGCTAGCTATTCTGACGCGTCCCATACCCAGCTAACGAGAGTAAGAAGTCCAAAGTTACCATTCACTATTGTTATCGGGATATAATAGATGGATATTTTGCAAATGAACGATTTACTGTATGATTCTTAGATTTTACTAAGAAATTGTGTAATTCTATGTCTTCAAATACATTCGATTGTCCTGCACTTGTGTTCTTGTTCACTACAACAGAAGGATATATATGATGAACTTGTCTTGAATGTTCTACGTGGTTATTTATGAGTGAAACATACCAAGTGATTGATTCAACTCTATTGTCCTTTTATACAATATACAACTAAATAAATCCATCACTTATCACTGTCCTTTTAATCTGAAAAAAGCGTGTTCAAGAAACGATACATGGAATAGATTGTGTACATTTGATTAAATGTTACTCAGTCATACAGATTTCTTAATTATAGTTGTGTATGTATTCATTGTGCACATCATGTTAGTAATATAGAGGTTCAGCATTGTGTGTTCGGGCACAGAGGCGATAATTCAATTGGTGTCACCATCTTGAAACATCGACTTCGGTGCCTTCGACATGTTCTACGAATGTCGTCCCAGAGAATTCCACGTCGTGCATTATTTGCCGACTCTGGGACTAGTTGGAAAAAGCGGAGAGGTAGTCAGTGTATGACATGGTGTCGTGGTATGAAAGAAAGCTGCAAAGGGCTAGCTTCTGTTGGTCCTACACGACTCCCTGGTTGGGGTCCGAGAGATGGTGCAACACAGTGGCTAGAGACGTTATCAGATATGGCTCAGAATAGAAGCCAGTGGCGAACCTGCTGTAACCTTTTAGTTTCTTCATAAAGAGTGGTTCTAACTTTCTTAACTGGAAGAGATCTTCTTTTTGTACATTTCAGTTTCCTCCACTATTACTCTTATTTTTTTGTTATATATATGCATCTTACCCCTTCTCTCTTCCCATCCTTATTGTTTTGTCTGGCGCATATATATCTGGTGCCCCCTTGTACCAATATTTATGTGTTTAAATAAATAAACTATCAACATAACACTTAAGCTGTACATTTCAAGTTAGTTATCTAAAAATATGATATCATAATCTCTGAAGACAATGGGTGAACGGTTGCTCAAACTTCGTGGATTAGTTGAAGTTAGACATTAACACCGTCGGGTGCTTCCTCAGTGGTCTATCGGTTAAGTGCTCTAGCGCGAGACTGGTAGGTCCTGGGTTCGAATCTCGCGGGGCGGGATCGTGGATGCGCACTGCTGAGGAGTCCCACAATAGGACGAAACGGCCGTCCAGTGCCTCCAGGTTTTCCATGGTGGTCTAGCTTCAATCGACTCATGATTTCAACTATGAAAAATTAAAATCTATATAAGCTGAATTATTTCTGGTATCTTGACATGTATCTATGCAATTTCTGAAGTAATTTTTGTCATTAGTTTATTTCATATTTTAATATGGTATCATAAACTAATCTTAAGGGCACAGGATTCGGTGTTAATTTCCTTTGTGTAGTTCCAAACAGGTTCTTTGGAAAGTTGACTAATAATCATTAGAGTAGGTCTAAGCTTAGGCTACTTTGTTAAACACTTAATAAGATGATCTTTGATGTATTCAATGGTTATTAACTTATTCTTATGTGTCAAGTGATAACGGACTATCGAAAGGGATATTTTATTGGTAGGAAATTCCCGACTATACTGTCAATTCCTTGTAGTTCCTGCAGGATATCATGTGATGCTAAGGATATCTTTGAAGATGTCGTTAGGATCATTCAAATTATGTTTGTTTATTTACTTAAACGCATAAACATTGGTACAAAGAAGCACCAGATACATATGCGCCGCATAAATCTCGTTCGATTTGTGTGAGGGCTGTGATACTGCTCGGGTGCCCAAACCGAAACAGATGGTTTTCTTAGGGGGCCACACCCGGAGCTTTTGACCTGAAGATCTGATCCACAAGGCAGTGGAGCATCGTAAGGAGATGCAGTCCCATGGTAGCCGGTGATCAGCGATTGATACATACACCTTTTGTTCCCTCAGGATACTGGAGCCCATGTGCACCATTTGTTTGGAATCAGGGTTTTCCAACTCCCCTAGGTGGACTTTCCGTGTCCACTAACCCGGTGAGGGCGCAGAGCATTCGCTTTTCGTCTTCTTACTTTCGTGAACAACACCCCCTACACAAGAAGGCAGTGAGTAGGACTTCCGTGGGAGAGGCTATATACGCGTGGCCATATGAGAGCATTTCGAGAGGGAGAGGTGACTTTCCCCACTCTTGGCAGTACCAGGGCATTTGGGGGCTTATCAGCACGGCATCTGCAGTCCTATTGGAAAACTTTCACATAACTCTAACAAGTTTATTGTTTTAAATTGCTCTTCATACGTATTTGAAAAGTGCTTTCGACATACTTTTTCAATAGAACGTATCAAACTTCTCAAAGGTTCACTGTGTACTAAGAGATCAGGACAGATTTTAATTAAAAGGGCCAAAAATAACAAGATAACGTATCAGGGATCTAAAAATGATCTCAGTAACTTTAATTTTATTTACCACTATGGACAGATATCTTCTGATCAATGCATTGCATATTTCATACGCTGCCAACTAAAGACATGAACAGTACTACGTTTTTTGTGAACAAACATTTGTAAATATTTCATCTTATACGCATTTATACGCCATCAAAATTCGGCGTATACACAGTGATTATTGTACGTTATGCCTTAACATAATGCTATTAAGTTATTGGGAATCTAACAGTACGTTTTTACCCTCCTTAGTGACTCTTTAATTGCCTGATATGGCAGGTGGTTCAAACATAATGTGTGTGGGACATCTGAATATCAGGTTGATAAAGGGTTTCTAGAGGAGTCTCTAGCCTCAGGTTACTAGTCGGTAGGGATTTATGAGTGAGTCGTCACTAAGTTCTGTACAAAATTTCTGTATATCCGCTACGTCAGAGGCACTACAATTGGCGAACAATTTCTAGAAGATTTACGCCTAGACTACTTCGAAATCAAGATAAAAGAATGACTCGGTTTCATATGACTTCTTTTAACAAACCAGCCGAAATGTGTGTATGTGCCTGTGACGACGAGCAAACCTGAGAAGGTAATTAGTCGGAATGTAGCCACTAGGATGAGCGTAGTTGGGGCTTTGAGAATTAGTGCATAGGACTCATAAGGAAAATAAATCACGAAATTTCTGGATATTCTAGGCTAATTACACTTCAGTTGATGGTGAAGCCATTTGATGGAATTCCCGCTAAAATAATACTTGCTTACATGTTTTGAAAATAGATTGTTGTAAATGTTATCCTACTCATATAGTAATGTATATGGCCCTTGTTTTCGAATGAACGCACCGAAAAGCCTTAATATTATTCACTCCAAAAGACTAGTCGGTCTGGAGAGCTCTATTAAATGTTGAGATCATAATATATTTGTTGAATTACTTCGAGTGTAGGTTCGACAATTACGTACACCTAGAAAGACTACCACCTTAGTGTTTGGAAACAAGCTCTAACGTTTGTCCTAATTGAGCGATTCATAGTGCTAGTAACTGACTGATATCTTTGTTGAGAACGAATGAATAACTGCGTTGGACATCAAGCACGTATTTATTAGGTAACAGTGGTTAAAGATCAACTCTGAATAAGTATTATAATACAAATCATTCCAACAATTTAACCAAAGATTGGGCCAAATAGAAGTTTCTGGCTTCAAATAGTCAACGAATTCAATGTACTTCTATTTTATATTTGCTCCAGCGCTGCCAAATATTCTATATTGATCTTCTTTATTGAAGATTTAGGATTTGGACGAATAGAGTTTATTGGTCTCGGAGACTATTACGAATATCTACAAGACTAACGATTGAATTCGCACTTCTCTTCCCACTTTTCCACATCTCATCCGGAATCCAAGTTAAGGCTTGCCTCGTGAGGCAGTTTGGTGATTTCCTCAATGTATGTCCTATCCACTTCCAACATCTTTTCCTAATTTCCTCTTCATTTGGAAGCTGGTTTGTCCTCTTCCATAAAACGCTGTTGCTGATGGTATAAGGCCAGTGAATGTTGAGTATTTTGCGTAAACAACTATTTATAAATACTTGTATCTTGTTGACGATGGATACAGTAGTTCTCCACGTTTCAGCTCCGTACAGTAGAACTGTCTTGACGTTCGTATTGATGTTTCTTTGAAATTAGTTGACAGTTGTTTTTAGTTCCATATGTTCCTCAGTTGTAAGAATGCGGCTTTTGTTTTGCGAATCCTTGCCTTTACATCTGCATCAGATTCTCCTTGTTCATCAATGATGCTTCCCAGGTACGTGAATGTTTTCACATCTTCCAGAGTTTCGCCATCACACGTGACTGGGTTGGTGTTCTCCGTGTTGTATTTGAGAATCTTGCTTTTTCCGTTGTGTATGTTGAGGCCTATTGGCGCAGAGGCTACTGCTACATTTTTTGTCTTCGTCTGTATTTGTTCGTGTGTATGAGAGAGGAGGGCTAGGTCATCTGCGAAGTCCAAATCGTCTGATCGATTCTGAGGTGTCCATTGTATTACGTGCA